GCTCCACTGATGTTAAATAACTGGACTAGTAAAAATGGAGTCAGTGTGAACAGTCATGTTGCTCCTGCCTGGCCTCGAGAAGTAGTGAGACAATAAGGAAGCGAGAGGTGGCAGTTCTCCCTCTGGTGAAGTTGTCACACAGAGCAGCCATGCCATCAAATAGTGACACACTGCTTCTTCCCTGACAGAGTAAAATGAGATCTCTGAAAATGTGTCTACCTCTTCCAGTTATTTAGTGAGACTGCAGTCAGCCTCCTGTCGAAAAGTCACTCTCTGCTGCCTAGCCACTGCGGGAAAGTGAAATAAACCACATTAAGATGGCAATTTCACTTTAAAAAAACACATTCAACACAGTGGTAATGTTTCAGGTTTAATACGACAGACATTTTGAGTACCTCATACGAACACTTTCTGTGACTGCTAATTCTGTAGGTGCTGGTCGTGCCTCACACGATGCTTTTCCCCCCATTTGGCACCAAATTCTTTGCTGATTCAAAACCACGAAAGCAAGGTGTGTGTAGTGATTATTGGAACTAGCTGTCGCAATTATATCAGGCTAGTGGAACTGAATGGTTATTAGGGAAGCTAAGATAGCGCAATGAATGGCACAATGTGACAAAGCCCTTCTTAAGGTTGAACAGAACATTTGAACATTTCCACTCAAAAAGAAATGTTGGGACTGTTCCTTTTAACGACCGCCAGAGCACAGGTAATGTGCATTTTATTCAATGGTGAGAATAAAACATTACAAGGTGACTATAAGTGTAACTAAGGAGGTTAAAATATGTAAATTACAGCTGTAAAACACCTTTTTAAGGAACTTTGTTAAATAAAAACTGCCCGAGTTTAGCAGCATAACTGAAAAGGACTTCAGGCAGGATTTTTTCTACTTGTAGTTTAGAATATTACAAGATATGCACTTTCTAGAAATTAAGGCAGTACTTTTTATTAAATTACATTTTCTCGCATAGCAACTGGTCATGGTTCTACTCACATGGATAAGTTTAATCAAATTTACCAAAGAACCTGGGAAATAGTTTGAGCACACTGCATGTTGCGGCAATTATGTTCAATCTGCAGCCTGCACAAACCCTGACAGACCACATCCTTTAATGGTACAGTAACTCCATTTTAATGGTATTAATGTAAGCACCGGGTACATTCAGGCATAACTGCATAATTCAACGTATTTGTCAACGAATGCACAAAAGAAATAACAGATTTTCTTCAAGGATGTAACAGCATTATAAAAATAGTACTTGTTTGTTTACTTGGTATTTTTGATATCCGCCGGTAATTGTTAAAATTACAGCAACATGTAGCATTTATGTTTCACAAAAGCAGTGAGTCAGATGTGTGATTTGTCTCGTTAAGTTAAGTGAGGCTGCATTTTAAAAGTATTTCTGTCCGTGTAAACTGTACTGCAGACTGCTTCCTTCCTCCCACATACCAAATGGCTTTGTCCTTTCTCCATGCAGTAACGATCCGCTTGTCTTTTAGACAGCGTTACAAAGGTACAAAGTGTATACTGTGACCTGTGCGATGTAATGTAATGCAGTACAACTGACCAACTGACCTCAGCACCTCATTTATTATGAGGTGCAACACATCTGTTAATAAACTCTCACACAACTCCTATACAGATGTATAATCACTTCTTACCAAATACAGTATTTTTGCTAATACCTTGCTATTTAAAACACTGCCACATAAACAGTATTCACACTGTGCAGGGGATTATACTGCAGGAGTTTTGCTGAGTCCCTATCAACTTTTAATTAAATCGTTTCTGTTGTTTATCTCTTCATTACCTTTTGAGGCATGCAAGGAAAGCAACATTTCTTAACAAGAGGGCAACTGGAAATTAGTAATTAATATACAAATTATCATTTTGGGGCCGAAATATTCAAGTCAGGTCAATAGAACATGGTTATACAGCTAGATTTGGTGGCAAAGGCTCTAAAGAGAGCTTTAAAAGACTAAGCAGCAAAAGCACAAATACATTACATAAGGTAGAGGTTGTTTGTTTCAGGGAGCTGTGGCAGCAAATAACATTAGCATAAGCTAATCATCAAAATAAATGTAAGGTATCAGGCCACATGACAATGCTGTATGCCTGCATGGATGTGATAGGATGTTTGGAGTCAGCTGGTGTAATCAGCCAATGATTGTGAAGCAGGAAGAAAACAGCCGATTCCAATCAGCTAATCATTTGAGAATGTAGTACTGATCAATAGGCAGTTGTGTTAGATTGCAGTACGTATAGTTTATACAGTCCAACTCTGGTAAATAAAGACATTTAAATGTCATGCTATCGTCAAAGTGTTCTGAAAGTAATAGATCCCTGGAGCAGTCTACCAAAACCAACCCAGTCTCACGGCATTTCGTGTTATTAGTCACAAAATTAATTTAATCTATTGATTCGTGTTCACCAACACGATTTTCACTTTGTTTTCGTGTCACACAGAACGATTTTAAATGCAATGTATTTCTATTGGTAGTATGTTTCGTGCCTGCAACACGTCTTTTTGTCCGGTCGGGTCTTGGAAGACCAGAAGCTGTGTGGTTCATAAAAACATGTTCTTACTCAATATCTTACCCTAAGCCTAACCCTATCCCTTTTATTTGAAATTGTATAATGTCTGAGTTTTTTTTGCCGTCCGTGAGGAAAAGAAATGGCTCAGAGCCTCAGAATACTGAAATCTGTATTTTATGTCATCTTTTTTTCCTTCTAATTTGTTATTATTTGGTGCAGGCACGAAACATACTACCAATATAAATACATTGCTTCTAAAATCGTTCTGTGTCAGAATACTTAAATCTGTATTTTTTAAATGTCTTTTTCCTTCTAATTTGTTATTATTTACATTGCTTTTAAAATCGTTCTGTGTGACACGAAAAAAATGGCGAAATCGTGTGGGTGAACACGAATCAATAGATTCATTTCGTGACTATAACACGAAATGCCGTGAGACTGTGTTGACCAAAACATACTATAATTTGATTTTTGTAATCCTATTCAAATTCATAACATTATCACTACAACTGCAAACTCTTGCATGAGTGCCAAACTATCGTTACTGCTTTCAGAAACAGCTGATACTCTACCTGCTGGTGGAAAAACCCAAAGGGTTCATATCTGGGACACAGCAATGAAGAATAAACTACAAATATCTCAAACCTATTCCCCATGCAAATGTATGAGCACTTCACACCTTCCAGAAGCCTCTAATCGTCAAAATAGTCAGTGAGCACCACACTGTTTACATATTCAGAAAGTGTTAATCCAATTCAATTGTACTTTAAAGTAGCTTTAGAGGACTTTTATCAACAAAAAAGGGCAGAGCTGAGTGAGTAAGCTAGTACTCAGCAGACTCACTGCTTTTGTTTACACAAAGGGGACTTAATAATACCCTGGAAACAAACTATAATTCCTTTTGCTGTCAAATTTCAACCGCTGTCCTGGGAGGACACAGAGGATTTGCAGATATGAATGTACCCTAAATGTAACAATATAATCCACACATTTGAAATAAATATCAGGTCTGTCATAGGTTTTGAAAGGATACTGTTGATATTGCTCAGACAATTTCACACTATGGTGACTATCCAGAAGAAAAAATTGAACTCAAGGGAGTTATTTTGAAGTAAATGTTTTTCGAATGGAAGTTTGCTTATTTGCTTTTGCTGAGAGAAAGAGGAGAAGATTGATACCACGCTAAGCTACCAGAATATCCCTCTGAAGCTTGCTAATGTCTTTGCTAGCTTCCTGGCAAGCTCATGTTGACAAGCCAATTACACCAAAACGTGTTGATTTTAAACTTTAGGTTCTGTTTAAAAGATTAAACAAGCAACACTTATAGGGCTTTATGTGTTTATAGCAGGCTTTAGAGATGCTGGTAGGAGGACAGGTCAAGACTTGCAGTTTCCCCGTTTATAGTATTGATGCTAAGCTAAGCTAACAGTCTTTCTGCAAAGTTATGTTGAAGCTCCTTTCCCAAACGTCAAACTTTTACTTTCAAACTTTCAAACTAAAGTGATACCTAAGGTGTTCTTTCATTTAAATCCAGCAGTTATTTTTAATCATTTATTTTCTCGGAGGTGTATTTAATATAACGTTTGCATTGAAAAGGTGCTCAGGGCCGCCGTAAAAGGAACAGTTTCAAAATATCTTAAGGAACTCATATGCCAGACTTATGCTGTGTTCACACCGGACGCGATGCGACGTTTGGGGGCGGCGCGATTACATGTAAAGTCAATGTAGAGACGTGGACAGACGCGAATTCGCTCCGACGGCGTGCATGAAGCGGTGGACGCGGCGCGAATCACACGATTGAGGCGATTGAACGGTGCCGCATTAAACGCGAGAGTTCAATTTTTTCAACTCGAGCGTCAAATTCACATGACGCGTTCTCGCGGAAGCCAATCAGCGGTGAGGATCTCAGCCGCCGTCACTGACGTTCAACCACACAACATCAGCCGTTAGCTGTTAGCAGTTAGCACACAGAGCTCACAGCTCCTCATATCTGTTCAGAAACTGGACAAAAGTTAAACAAGTACAAACCACAGACTGTCTGTGTCATGGTGAATACAGTCGCTGCTTATTTATGTCTGTAGGCCGTTGTTATGAGTGTGGAATGAGCATATACAACGTTAGCTTAGCCTGGTCGACCCGATCTTCATTCAGAAAACAAGCATTTTAAAAGGTGTTTTGCCTGCCGTCTTGTCTGCAGACTTGTCAAAGCCTTAATTCATGGTTGTTACTAACCGGTATCAGTATGTTGTTACTTCGGCATCATTTAGAAACGTGTATTACAATTTAATCACGGTAAAATATGTTCATTTGTTGTAGTTGTAGCTCCCGAGCCAGCGCGTCTTGTTTGAATGATGCGAGTAAACACAGCTGGCAGCCGCGGTGAACCTCCAGCGTTTAGAGCGATGCGATAGGAGCGATTAGAGCGAAGCGAATAGTCGCATCGCGTCCGGTGTGAACGCAGCATTAGTGACAGCGACGACTGCACGGGGCACTTTGGCACTTTTCAATATTTACTATACGACACGAGGATATAGCAACTACCCCAATGGATATTTCATTTGAGCATGTAATTTAGAACATGGTGTCAAAGTCAGACGAACTTGTTCTTTATGTGTTGAAAACAACCTCTGAATGTTCTCATCATCAAAAGCACATTCACAAAAAAAGGTAAAACATAGTAAGACTGTAAGAAAAGAACTCCCGCCAAAACTCCATTTACATTCATTATGATCTTGGCCTTATAGAAATAAAAACACAAAAACGAAAGATAAAAATGAACAGCAGATAATAGCTGTGATTATGTCTCTGTAATAACATCATACAGACCATGATGGTATTATAAGGATGCACTGAAATGCTTATCATCCTGCTCTGTTTTGCTTGGCATATTAATCTTCTTTACACGTATCAGTTTCTTATCACACCTATTGTACACAGCTTTATGCTCACACATGTACATGACCCACTCAGGCTTCCATAGAAGAGGCTACATCTGCTGAACAACCACAACACCAAACTGAAGCGTTACCCAGTCTGCATTGATGATCACTCCATCATACCGGGCTTCTTTCTGTCCTTTAGTGTTTTGGTTGCACTATAAATATGAATGTAATGAGTAGAAAATGATCAGTTTGCTGTTAAACGCGGACTTGTGTTGGTAAGCCTGTGGGAGTTGGTCACGTATGTGCAGAGAAATATAAAATGGATTTTATATGTCGAGACCTTAAACTGTATGTTGTGCTTCCTGTACTCCAACATAAAACATTTATCATAAACCTTTGAATAGAGCTTCTTTAACATTTACAAGTTATACAGTTACCAAATTGGTTTGACTTCTTATGCTTCCGTCAGCTTTGATACTTAAGCAATGCAAAGGGAGACGACAAGAAGAGAAAGGAAGTTAAGTAATCTTCAACAGAAAAAAAATAAAAAGAAGAAACAAGACACAAGTCCTCAAAACATTTGTCATAACCAACAATGAACGGAATTTTTCATTTTCTTATTTTCTCTTTTTTACAATACATTTTTTAAAAACCCCGCTGGTTAAGGTTATGGTCTCAGGTAGATCTTCCACAGTCAAATCTTCACAGTTTGTGTAAAAGCAGAGAAACATTCTCGCTAGAGTAATAAAATATCATGACTATTATTATGGTCATTATTATCTTTTATTCTTGTATTGTTCCATATAAATGGTGGAGGGTAGGGGCGAGGCGTATGACCCTGAAGAAGAGCCTACAGTCCCAGAGTTCCTACTCTCCTCCCTGTACAACGCAATGTTTTATTCAGCGGTCGTTCTTTTGTTAAAAAATGCTCACCACAGGGAAGGAGAATTATGGAAAGAGAGAGTGGGGGTATTCATTCGACCACATGTCTTTATCCTCCTGTATAATCATGTCGTTCTGCAGGAAAAGATCCAGAGCCTCACTTTCACTGTTGCCGCTGTTTTTTAAAATCCAAATTGTATCCAAACCTGGTCTGCCAGCTCTGCCTGGGATGCTGCCTTCACGTTGAACTACGCCGAGGCATAGGCATAGGCTTAGGAGCATGCACGCACACAAACACACACACACACGCACACACACACACACACACACACAGGCAACTGTCCCATCAGGATTTAAACAACCCAACACTCCCTCTGAACACGCATGCCCTCCCGTCAGCACTTGTGGGGCAAAAGAAACATGTAGAAAATAGCCCATCAGAGGAAACATGAACAGAGATGTGTTCGATGTTGATTAACACACAGGCTCACGATTCGGTTTGTAATCTGAAGGCACTTTGTTTCATGGCAGAAAGTAAAGTGGCTTCTGTTCCACAGGCGGACTGAATATTCGAGTCAGGCCTCACTGATCGGACCTTTCTCCACTCTCTGCCTGTTCCTCTCTCCTCTCCCTCTCCTCCACTCTGCTCCCTCTCTCATTTCAGATCCTGAGCTTCTCTCTGCCCTCCCGTCCACCTTGTCTACACCTCCGCTGATTCTCTTGCTTTCATTGTTCTGACACCACACAGCCGGTTGGCCACTTGGACTTGTGAGCACAGTGTTAATAGATACATAGGCAGCTACAGGGGAGTAAGCAGACAGAACTAAATGTTGCCAGAGACCTTGTTTTTCTACAGTACAGCACCGAGCAGATAAAGAAATGCCAAGGTGTGACGTGAGGCTGGGCCAGAGTGAAAAACAAGTGTCGGTGAATGGCATCTGGTGCGAGAAAATGAAGATAAAGATGCAAAGAGAAAGGTCTGATTCCATGTGTTTGTAAGCAGGGAAATGTTCATTCCTTTCCAAAAAAGTCACTAGTCTATATACCCGCCGCCTTCCAAAGATATTTTCATAACTTCATAAAATGGTTCTTGTGCTTTACAAACTGTCCTCCTTCGATGCTTGTGAACTCTTTCGCCAAAGTCCAGGCTTATTCATGGCCCACTTGTCTGTGTGCTCGTAAAGATGTCCAGAGTCCTGCAGCGAGGAGTGTTTCTGTAAAAGAGGTTTCTTTAAAAAAATTAGCGCGTCTTCTTTATTACTTTTTGTGTCACGTTTATATCATGATTTTTTCCCTCTTTCATTAATATCGGCCCCTCCGTGGTCTGCCAGGGGACCCCTGCTGCTTTCAGGATGCATGAATCTTTGGTGATTGGATGCCGAGGGTATAGTTCACCGACGGAGGGTCTGAATGTTCGCCTCTGAGATGACGGAGAGAAGGGTCACCTCTGACCTTCCAGGAGGGTCATCACCAAGGTGATGCATAGCAGCCATATATGGGAGGATGTGGACGGAGACTTGGAGCTGAGATCTACAACGAAAGAAGGAAAAGAAACTGAAAATATTGCTAGCAGTTCATTCTTTACACTCGCATAAAAAGATAACACATGGGCATCAAATTAGCCAAGTGTGTTTCACTCCATAGAAAGCCATTTTAGGAAATACGCTGAGGAGAGTTTGGTGAGAAGATGATTACCACCCTAATGTATCATCCATCATGTACCAGCGGTCTGTTAGCTTAGCTTAGCATAAAGACTGAAAAGAGGGGAAACAAACATTTAAATAAGGTTAATTTGGACTTTTAAAGGAAGTTATACAGTTTTTTTTTCTTCCTGGCAAGCCTCAAAACCACAAATTACAAAAAGGACACACTTTTATCTGTGTACAAATTATTTCCCCCCTGTTTTTAGCCTTCATGCTAAACTAAGCTAAGCTCAGCTAAGCTAACGTAGTATGAATCTCTTCTTCCAAGACTCAGCAAGACAGCAAATAAATGATTTACAAGGCACAACTAGCCTGCAGGATCAGATCCTAAAACAGTTACTCTGAACCTCTTTCTTCTTCAGTCTGATGTCACCTCCGAACATCCCTCCATGAGATATTTCTCATTTTCACATAAAGTCATGTAAGATTCATCCTGTGAGATTGAAATGCATAATTCTTAGCATTACTCTGTCCTCAGCCTGGGCGGCCACTCCTATAACTCAAAAGTAAATGAATTAATGTTGTCGCTTTGAATGATAATGGATCCAAATGAATAATAATCTTGCAGTAATACAATAGAATACATCTGACAGACGGAGATCACAGACTGATTCTTTTTTGGATATATGTGGTTATTTTCCACTAATGACATGAAACATTTAATAGATTACCCTGATTCATCTATGGTATATGAAAGGGACATCTCAGTTTATGAAGCTTCTGGAAAAGGTATTCCTGCGACTCTTTATAACATGAATAAAATCAAGAGAAACATTTTGTTCTCTGCCTACCAATACCCCCTTGTCAATTGGAGGCCATTTTCCGTGTCCTGTTTTCTGTTTTTACCTTCTGTTTGTTCCTGCAGCGCAATTACAGTGCTCCACTCAGCCAGCATGGCTGTCATTCATGTGATTACAACACTGTTTCTATGGCAACCAGAGAGTGTGGTTGAATGCTTGCAACTGTCTAAGATTAGATCCCCTCTCTTAAATCTCCACCTTGTCCAACGAGGTAGAGTGGGAGCGTGGAGCTCAGATAAGAGGGGACGGAGGAGGCAGAGAGGGGTGTTACTCACTGGGTGGAGGGTCTCGACACTCCCCTTCTTCCAGCGTGACATCATCGATGGCTATATCTCCCTCGATGCCTGGTCCCCGGATACCTTCGAGCACCACCTGCAGAGAGAAATGTTTGTCATGTGTTCAGCATTGCAAGACCACAAAAACAGGATAATTAGCAGATAAAACCTTAAAAGTACACAGCGTAATTTTGCTAAATTGCGCCTCATGAAAAATAACAGCAGGTGGCTGGTGTTTGTTTCAGTTTTTAATGTCACAAATGTTTTAATTAAGAACCCTTGTGGTGTTGGAGCAGTAAGAAGTTAGAGTGGAGAGAATAAAAAAGGGAACAGAAGTGCAGCTGAAACTATAATTACTTTCCACAACTGCAGTCATAAACATGATGGAGAGTATTCTCAACACGCAACGATTAAGCGTCTTGAACGCAACGTGAGTGATATTGTGTTTTCAATTGCAAACAGTGTCCACCTCTCTGCTTAATATCACAGCTTGTGAAGTGCTACATCAATATGGCGCCCCCAAGGAAACGGATCCTTCCACACACAAACACAGTCAGAGAAGAAGATAGAGGGCAACAAGAGGAGTGCAGCGGCGTGTTGGATTGATTATGTTTCTTAGTCTTACCTGGAAGGATGATGTCGGATGGATGCTTACTTTCGCCTGCTTCCAGCGTTCACCTTGGTTACCGTTTAGCGACCACGCAGGAGCCTCGGAGGTTGTTTGGCCCTTCTGTTTCAGGAGGGCGTTTAGTGTTCCTGTGGCAGAGAGACAGATGCACATAAAGACATGGCAACAACACATTTTGTAACATCCTGAAACACTTCAATGTGGTTTCAGAACACCAAGCAGTAAATACATAGAGGGCCACAAAGTGCTACTGGGTCATGTAAAATCAAAACAAATTAGTTCAAAGTTCGATAATAATTATAACATTTGACACGGTGATACAGTATAGGAAACTTTTGTTAACAAGCCCTGCATCATCTTCATTCCTCTCTGTTGATATGATTTACTCATATGTGACTAAAGTAGGTCACCACTACTCAGGGTAACAAATGTGTCCCTATCACCCTTTAGCATTCACTTTACTAAGACTTTATTTACAGTTTTTTTATATTTCTGTGACAAAATTCCATGAAAGTGGGTGCTATACGCTTGCTTTGCTGTAGTAGAAGAAGAAGGGGTTGCAAAACAAGTCGCCTTGCCATCCAACAAATCAACCATAGAAAAATTGTATTCTTGAGTTTGCTTTAATTGGGCACCTTTTGATGTTTCTTTTATGTCAACTAGTATGTGCCATGTATCATGCTGTTCCAATATGTGATGGGAATATTTCAGAGAAGACACCAACAGCGAAAGCAACTGATGTCATGTGAGTTAACTGTCAGAATTTATTCGGCAAATGCGTTTCCATATTCAATTTTTCAACAGGGGCAAAAACCACCCAAAGCAAGTGGAAAACCTTTTTTGCAATTGAGGACGTTTAATGACATTTTTGCAGTTTCTTTACAGCTTTTGTAGTGCGATACAGCTTCAAAACGCGCATACAAATAAATAATACATTCATGGAAACACATCTACTGTGCCAAGAAAGATCCCTAGACTCTCTCTCTCTCTCTCTCTCCATTTGTATAACAGACCAATGTGTCCTTGAGCCAATGTGCAAAGCAAGGTAGACTAGCAGGTAGGATAATATGTTTCTTAGCAACCGCTCTTCCTAAGTGCGGAGCAAGCTTCCTGTCATACGGCAGCTAAAAGGTCTCTGATGAGCATCCATAGGAGGCCAGGTCATGGATACAATTGGCTGTTGAGAGCCACTTTAAAATTACAGTCATAAAGCTGTATAATGGCATTTAAAACCAGAAAACAAGTGGAAGTGAAATGGATGAAAATTACGAAACGGTCGACAAGATGCCTGTTTTTCAGTAGGCATTATAAACATAAACTTGTACTGAATCTACTCTTCCATAGCTCTGCTGATATCTCTGAATTCAAATCCTTGGATGCCGCTTTAGTAATAAGATCCGATTGAAACCAAATTAGTAAAGCGATAAACATATTTTGAAACTATCTACCTATAATTTGGAGGGCTATATTTTTGTAATCTTAGGCAAGGCAAGGCAAGGCAAGGCAAGGCAAGTTTATTTATATAGCACCTTTCAACACAAGGCAATTCAAAGTGCTTTACAAAAATGGAAGACATTAAGAAAATGGCATTTAAAATCAGTCATTAAAAAGAAAAGATAATAAAATAAACATTAAAAGAAAAAATACATGGATAAAAGTTACAGTGCAGTTTAAGATGTGAATAGTTCAATTAAAAGCAGCGGCAAAAAGAAAAGTCTTCAGCCTGGATTTAAAAGTAGTAAGAGTTGCAGCGGACCTGCAGGTTTCTGGGAGTTTGTTCCAGATATTTGGAGCATAATAACTGAACGCTGCTTCTCCATGTTTAGTTCTGACTCTGGGGACAGAAAGCTGACCAGTCCCTGAAGACCTGAGAGTTCTGGATGGTTCATAATTTAGCAGTAGATCAGAAATGTATTTTGGGCCTAAACCATTCAAAGCTTTATAAACCAGCAGCAGTATTTTGAAATCAATTCTTTGACACACAGGAAGCCAGTGTAAGGACTTCAGAACAGGAGTGATGTGATCCACTTTCTTAGTGTTAGTGAGGACTCGAGCAGCGGCGTTCTGAATTAGCTGCAGCTTTCTAATAGATGTTTTAGTGAGACCTGCAAAGACACCATTACAGTAGTCCAGTCTACTGAAGATAAAAGCATGGACAAGTTTTTCCAAATCCTGCTGTGACATTAGTCTTTTAATCCTAGATATGTTCTTTAGGTGATAGTAGGCTGATTTAGTAACTGTTTTAATGTGACTGTTGAAACTCAGGTCAGAGTCCATGACTACACCTAGATTTCTGGCTTTATCTGTTGTTTTGAACATTGCAGACTGAATGTTTAATAACTTACTTTAATAAGTTACCATAATGACAATCAGACTGAATAAAGTTTCTGTTAACTTTTGCCTTTATTCTCGCCCACACTCCCTCCTTTGTGCTCTCTTCTGTTTCTCCCACTCTTTGTCATTATTCAGCTCATATCAAGGTGTATTTGTATTATGAGAGTATGAATAGAGACATCAGTATAAAGAAATATATAATCAGAAGATTGTTGCAAAATAACCCTGATCCCCTCCGATCCATCTAGTTTATGAACGAGTTTAGAATGACTAATGGTAATGAGATTTGAACACTGCAGAAGAATACCCACATCGCATTTCACCAGCTTCACACCGTAGAAATATAAAACCTCTAGGGATCAGACGAGGTTTAACCACAATACTGCAGCCCTAATCATTTCAATCAAGACATTTACGGTATTGAATAGATTGTACAAAACATTGTGATTAAACTGTTTTCAGCACTGATGCGGATCCATACCATTTACTGGATGAAATGGAAAACAAGAAAAGAAAATATGAATCTTACCCAACAAGTTAAATTCATAACATTATTGGACATCATGACGATTTTTTGTTCATATTCATAAAAAAAGTATTTTAAATGACTGTAAAACTAACATTTTTTAACAATACATCTGTCCTGTTTGAGAAGTATTCTATTTTTGAGATAAATAATATCATGTATTTCTGTTTGCCATGTATATAAATGTTATGTTCATAAATGTTGTATGTGACGGGACTACGGATGGAAACTAGCTCAAAGCTAAAATCCGGCTAATTTACATTTAAAAGCATTATTTTGTTTAAAATGTTCATTAATGTGCACTGTCCCGGTTCAAATAAACGATTAAAAAAAAAAAATAGACTCTAGACTTTTTAGCTGAATATACAAGAAGACGTGAACATTTACAAGAAGTTGAATATTCACAGCAGTCTCCGCCACATTTCAAATGTATGTATTCATCTGCACTCGAGGCAGAGCAGGGCAGTAGCAAAGGTTAATCTCAGGTCACATGAACTAAAACATTTATTAAGTTGTGATTCTGCAAGCGATCATAAATTATTTTCCATCCTGTTATAAACCAAATTAATTATCCCTAATGGGCGATGCGTGATGAGAATATTTGGCGAGTGTAAATACATCATGAGAATCAAACTATTTCTGCTCAGTCCAGCTCCGGTTTGAATCTTCTGCACCGGAGAAGAAATCCTGGATGTCTAAACCAACTCTGCATTGTGAAAATGCAAATGCAAAGGGCCCCTATTATACTCTTTTTCATCAATATATTATAGGTCTCAGACATATACAAAACATGTCTCTGAACTGTTTGTCTGAAGCCCCTAACAGATCATCCATTGTAGCATCCCATAATCCCCTCTGTTTCCGCCCTGTTTCAAAAGTGCTGATTCTCTGTCTGTTACTTTAGATGAAAATAAGGAACCACTCCCCACGCTCCTCTGAGAGATATGTGGTCTAAGAGGAGATTCAGGTGATAAGGTGGGCGGGGGTTACCTTGGTTGGTGATTGGCTAATGGTTACACAAACAAACAAACAAACACAAGCCAAAAACGTTATGACATCATAAAGTGGCCAATTCTTTTTAGGGCTGTCAGTCGATTAAAATATTTAATCGCGATTAATCGCATGATTGTCCATAGTTAATCGTGATTAATCGCAAATTAATCGCACATTTTTTATCTGTTCTAAATGTACCTTAGAGGGATATTTTTCAAGTTTTTAATACTCTTATCAACATATGAGTGGACAAATATGCTTTATATGTTTGTTTGTTTATTATCATTTGAACAATGACAAATATTCTCATGAATATTAAACACAACAACCTGAACATTACAAATATTCGCCTCAATTCAACCTGGAACCTCTCTCATACAATACAAAGTGTGTGTGTGTGTGTGTGTGTGTGTGTGTGTGTGTGTGTGTGTGTGCGTGTGTGCGTGTGTGTGTGTGTAGACACTGTGATGGATCGTTGGAGCTATGTGCAGCTCAAGGCATATATGCTCGAATGGGAGCTGCCTGGACGCTGCAATCATGTTGCGCGCACTATCCGTGCTGAGTGTGCTGACTTTTCGTACAATGTCCCACTGTTTGGCTACCTGCATAAAGTCAAGTGCTCGGCGCAGTTGTCGGCGAAATGTCGCTCCTCTGTTTTCATTGAAACAGCTCCTTATATCCGTTAGCGCAGCTAGCTAGCACCAGATGCTAACAACAACAACACGTAAGGTGTGCCTCGCTCGCCCCACACATACACACACCGTCCCGGTCCTCCCGATGGCCAGTCCGGGCCTGCCGGTGAGCGTGGAAGTGTGGTCTGCCACAAGCGGGCGGCAGGAGCGGGGCTGTCAGCATCAGCTTGTAGATGGTATTTTAAACTCGATGCGCTCTGAAACTACGAGGCGGGGCGGGCGAGGACAAAAAATACACATGCGTTAATCGCGTTAAAATAATTTGTGGCGTTCATTTTTTTTTAACTTGACAGCCCTAGTTTTTATACAAATGGATCAGGACAAAAAGTGAGACAATCTTTTTTCCTGAAACTTTCAGAATCTCTTTACACAGAGGGGACACATGTTTATGTATAAAAGACATGAAAAAGTGGATTTTGCATAATAGGTGACCTTTAACTGAATTCATATACAACCTCTTATATAAGAGAGAAATACAGGATCTCATTGAGACAGAATAGACTATAAACCAGGTCGGAATGGAAGATTGCTCTCAGTGAGACCTCTTGTCTAGCCCAAGGCTTTGATATAAAACTGTCAGATGATGACACCCGGTGCAACCACTCCACGTGCTCTCCAAGAGAAGCGATTGTGTTGCTTTCTCTATGCGCCACGCAGGAAGACAGAGAGAGAGAGAGCGCAATACTTCAGCAGTGGGCTAGCAGAGCAGCATCCAAAGACCCAAATCAGGTTAGCATTGGCACCATAGCGGAGCTCAGCAGGACCCCTCCTCTGAAGTCAAGTGAATTTCAATAGTATGGAAAGCAGCACCTCTCCGTTGACACAACCGGCGAGCAGAAAACAGCAGCGCCTACGACAGTGATGTTGTTTTTGATGCATCTTTGCCTCAGCAAGGTGCCTCATTACTGTACATCTCTGTGAGGAGAGGAGGGAAAGCTACACCATATGTCCCTGTTCATATTCACACATCAGCACGGTATACAGTGCCCCCCCCCCCCCTTCCCCGACGACAGCACCATCTCCAGTGAGAGATGAGCTCTCGTACAAAACATGACCTGCGGTTTCAACTCACGTTGAAGTGTTTAAGGATGTAGGAGGATTCTTGCTGAGCTTGCTGGCTTACATTTTCTTTGAACTCATCTCGATGTAGGTGGTTGTGTCAGTGTCATCACATCCCGAGCAAAGGCATTTGCTGAGTTTTCTTTGGAATCAATTTAAAAAAAAAGGAATACCTGTGGCAGACACTTGTGAAATTTAAAAAAGATCTGAGAAGAGAAAGATGTGAGGTCTGGTGAAAAGTGAGAAATAGCTCTTGGAAATGTTCAATTATGTAGCGAGGAAGTGAGCGGGGGGATTGAGGTGCAGTACCACCCTCCTCGCTAATGAAAGGATGACTCCGTTGCTTCTCAGAAGGTCAGGCTTAAAACAGACTTGCTTGGTGTGCTTTGCTGGAGACTTAATCCAATAAACACATGCAACATGGGCTCCAAATGCAAACTTTGATGTGCGCTTCAGTAATTAAGCGTGACCTTGTCGCAGGTATCCCCCTGTAGCTAACTACGGAGGAGTTTCTTTGAGCCTGAGCCACAGTTCTCATCAGCGTGGGGGAGAAACTCCTTATCGACTGATTCTGGCCCTCAGCGCTGCCGTGCACCAACTTGACTGTGAATCACCTCCTCAGCACAGTCCCACAGAGCATCAACTTCCCAGCATTTCACGGAGCTGTGCCATGTCTAAAAGCCGTCAACTATTTCAAATGACAGTTCTCTGCAATAAGACAACACGGGACACGTGAACATGCATTGTTTGGACCATTTGTCAAAGGCATTCTTTTCTCTGGGTGGAAAATATCTCAAACAAACATTCCTGAGCTCTGGGGCGAATTTCTTTCACGGCCGGAGAGGCAGAATACTAAATGGAGCGTAGCCATGGAGGATCTGAGCTGGGTTTCAAGTCCTTGACATTTAGCCCATTCATCATAACACGCCATCGTCTGGGCATGGGCTCCACCACAGACGAGGGGGGGGGGGGGGGGGGATGGCAGGGAAGAGAGGGTCTGGCCGGCGATCAATTTGAGCAAATTGGAAATGTCATGGCCTACTCAACCTCGGCAGGGAGCCGGAGGAGCTCTCATCTCCCCGCTGAGTCGCCCTCCAACACCTCCGTCCTTATAGTATGTCCACCTCCCTCGCCTCCACCTCTCCAGATGTTCGGTCCGGCACCCCCACCTGGACACTTCCACTCGGCCTTTCCCCTGAGGACTGCTGATAAGTAGCCAGGCTGAATTTTAGACCATATGGAGCCCTGCTGTCAACTCACTGTAAAACGGCCGGTTCATCCAAAATACATATTTAAAAAAAAACATATGGCTAGTTGTATCAAATTGGAAATGTCATTTTTGTTTTATTTGAAACGTTTTTGAGTTGTCTTACAATACATCCATCACTAGGACACTCAGAGTGCTCAGACCTCTGCCGTTGCTGTTTCAATTGGTAACAAATAAGGATTGTGTCCACTGTCCACCCTGTTATTCAGATTTGTAATTTTGCTGATAAACCACATGCTGGACTGAAAACATTACCCCTTTGGTCGAGGTAAAATTCCCAAACACTCATTTAGGTCACATCTTTGAAAATGTGCCTTTTCCTCAATAGGACAATCTGAAAGCCTTTTTATATTACCAATTCAAATAAGAGTCAGCTAACAAACTTCAAAGGAAATGAAATAGTAGAAAATACAAATATTGCTTAAGAAAAACATATAAGCCATCACACTCAAAAGAAAAGAGTGGGGTGGGGGGGGGGGGGGGGGGGGAGTCGGAGCAGCAGTTCCAGCAGCAGCTCGGAGCGGAGCAGGTGGAGGGTGGAGATGGAGCTGATACCATCAAGGTCTCACCAGAATACTGAGGTAAATGCAGCCAAATGCTCGCTGTAAACATCTTTTCAAAGCAGAGTCGAGTGCAGTTGCCAGCCTGTAGTGATTTCACAGTTTATTGAACATAAAGTTTAATGAGCACAGATCTGCAACCCCCTGTCCCCTCTTAGAGACCAGTTACTATCATGTCTCTCTATTCCAACTTCCTTTAATATCTTTTTTTTCCTTCTAATTGTTTTTTGTTTATTAAATATATTTTTAGGGCAGCCGTCATTTTAGTTCACTTGATGTTTCTGTGTCTATGTTTTTGTCTTTTGCAATGTCATTTTCTTTCTTAAGGCCCATCAGCTTCCTTATAAAAGTAAACATGAACACAAATAATCTGCCATAGTTTGGATATATTTGTGTTTTTTGTCTGTCATTGTTTTATTGTGAGGGAGCCACATTTGGAAGAAGGGTACTTTCATGCACCCATCAGGATTTGGCAGTATGCTCTTAGGGAGAGTTATTTGGGTTGTTGGGACACTGTCATTCCAATTTGATTAAACCACACCATTTCCTTGATTTTCGAGTATTAAACACAAATGATTTAAGGATGTTTTTTTCTTTCAAACTTTGACTTAGATTTTCTAAATTAGTCATTAAAATGTACTGTTATTTAGAGAAACTTTCCGGCAAGTCCTTGTGAGACAAATACGTTTTTCACAGTAAATGTTTAAATTGTAGCGAATGATTGGTGACTGCAAACAAATTATTACAGGCCAGCAAAAACTGAGGGAATAATATTTAGCTACAAGCTGCTCAAGTTTATGACCTCAACTACTTCCTATGACTATTACACATAAACTGACCAGAGACAAGGGACCATATCAACAGAGGCAGACCCAACTTTGAACAAGTGAACTGATTTTGAATGCGAAAAAATATTACTTTGTGTGTTATGCTGAACTAACATGTTATTATAATATAACAAATAAATAAAATGGAAACTTAAATATAAAGTGTGGTTTTACACGATACATCCTATTAAGTTATTAATCATCAATACTATATATATATTTGGTATCACTTATTAAATCTGCTATAAGCAATTCACACTACACATTGGTAAAAGTGTTTCTCTTACCTAAGAGAAAAACGAAATAACAAAAGAAGGACACATCATCTTTTGTAACCTAGAATGCACAATATTAGCTCACCATCTAACAAACTGCTTTAAGCCTTAACAAGCATCCAGCCCCCATGATACCACGGTGACCCTGCAACCCCCCCCCAGCGGGGCTCCTGCTCCTCACCTGCCCTAAGAACCTGTGCAGTAGCTAATGATTCAGGGTAAAGCCAAACAGTAAAAATCACAAAAAGAAGCCTTAACAATGTAAGTCTGCAGCTTTTGTGCCAAAGTTATTTATTATTTGTCTTCTGTCCCAAAGTCACAGTCACACAGTCAGAGCCTGAGTGTTGGGGTTGGCTGATTGGGTCCCCGGTGGAGTAAGCCTAAAAGACAGACTCGAGCCACAGGAGGCTCCTTCAGTCGCTCTGCCATCTTCAAATGGGCCACACAAGCTTGTTATCTACATTCAGAGAGGAACGTAAGAGCTAATGCCCAGGATTTGTGTACACACCTCTGAAGAGGTTTGTTGCAAAAGTGAGATATCTTTTGCTTCAAACATCTGACAGCTGCACTTACTAAAAAACTCCCCGCCACACCTGACATGGGACCAACTCTCTGGAAAGGACTGAGATTCAGTTGGAAAAAAGTGCCGTCGTTTGACTTTTTCTCCTCAGTGAGCAGTGAGTCTCATAAACAACAATTCTTTGACAAAATGAAGTAAAAACCTACTGCTGTGAAACACAGAGAGAAAGAAAAACCATCTCTCCATTAATGTTTCAAAGCCAGTGTGACGTCCAACAGATGATGGAGTTTTCTTTGGTAAATTTGTTGTGTTGGTTCATTGACTGTTATTTAGTTCCACATAGATAAGAATGCATCTCCTTCATTTAGCAGTGAATAGCCAAAGCAATTTAAACTCACTTCAAGTTGCTTTTGCTGCTCGAGTGACAGATTCTTTAAAGAACGACTCTAATTATGCTTTTATTCATCAGTTTCCATGAACCATTGAGCAGTGATTATAAATTAAGATGATCTTTTCAGCAGGGGATGAACTCTATGGCAGATTAAACCCACACACACATTTGTTGTATAGACTGGAGACAGTGAAGGAATGAGGAGCGTGTCTTACCTATGTGCTTCCCATACATGTGGTAGAAGAAGCCGAAGCAGTAGGCAGGCGGGTTGGTGATAACGTAAGGGTTTTTAGGTGGTACGTTGAAAAACGGACTGACGAGTCGCGCTTTCTCCCCTTCCTTCCGTGGTCTTGATGTCTCAATGTACATGTAGAAACCTAGAAACACAAATAAGACAGTCAGTGTTACAATTATACCCACAGAATCAATAAAAACAAGCTCTGAGATGATTATACAGATTGGGAACAAGCCAAGACTCAAGCCACATTATCTAAATCACTTTATTTGGGTGAAAAACCAAAGGTGGTTGAACCCTGGTTTAGTAATAATCCATCAATGCAAATACAAATTGTGAGGATATATTTTAAAGGAATGTTTAACAGACAGTTTAGGTAGTAGTCTATCATGGGCAGATGCTTCTAAACCCGTCAGATTGTCAGGTTACTCATCTTTCCTGTCCTGTTGTCACATTCCCAGATTTCATTTTGTATCCCCTATAGGGCAAATGTATTCCGTTTCTTTATGTAGTGCTGTATATAGAGTGTGCTATCTGAATATGCCTCGTGGCTGTCTTCAGGACACAGGACAAAGTCGTTGTGCCTTCCTGGGAAACTGCACAGTAGATGTACCCTTTGAAAAATATGAGAGCGTTTGTCAGACAGTGTTCAGAGTCCCACAACTACTTTGTGATTGCCCACAGATACACCGGGAAATCATTTGTCACTGTAGACACCACGAGTCCTCCTTGGTCATGCTCGGGCACATTTTTCAACCAGTTTGCGATGGCATGATGGAAATGAAACCCTCTGTATAAGAGATAAGGGGCAGTAGGACAGTTTTATTTTGACTAATAGAAGAGGTGGGAAGTAGTGGAGTACAAATACTTCGGTACTGTACTTAAAGGTGGGGTAGGTAATTTTGGAGAAACCAGCTCGAGTGCGCTAGAATTTGAAAATACACAGCCGGAAAAAATCTGCCACTTCCTTACAGAGCCCCTCCTCCAACACACACGAACGTGCACATGACCAATGAGGGCACGAGATAAGTTTGTGCACAGATGGAAGGCTGACAGGCAGGTAGGCCATCCAGTTATTTTAGCCGGGCTAGCTAAAATAATTGGTCGTGCTTTTTACAGTATTACGGCTTCCACAGATGACATTTTTGTATGGATTTTTTGTCAAAGCACTTCAGATATTCATTGCTATCGGGATGTTAAGAGCATTCCATGGAATATAACAAAAAGTGTATCTCGAGCCGGTTTCTCAAACTTACCTACCCCACCTTTAAGTACATTTTTCTGGTATCAGTACTTTACTCCACTACTTATTTTTCTGACGACTTTTTCCTTTCACTTCTTACATTTTTAACACAAATACCTGTACTTTCTACTTCTTACATTTTCAAAACAGGCACGTTACTTTAGTTTTAATCTGTGTTTGGTGGCCTTATCATTATTATTTAGAGTCATTGCGTGCCTGTTGATTTGAACACGATCCGTGTATCCGTCATTTCCTGGTCTTCTCTAAAGAACAGGGACCAATGAAAACGTTGCCATGTTGCCGTTGTTCAGCATGGAAACATTCATTAGCTAATAATGACATTATTGTTCTATTAATATAAAGGGACGTCAGTTACTCTTTAAAACAGCTGCTAGTTATGGGTACTTTTGACTTAAGTGCATTTCGAAGCCCATACTTCTTTATTTTTACTTGAGTAAAGAAGTTTAGTCAGTACTTCTACTTTTATCAGAGTATTTTTAAACACGAGTATCTGTACTTCTACTTGAGTAAAGGATGTGTGTACTTTTGCCATCTCGGACTAATAGCAACAACCAGGGGCGAATCAAGGCGATAACAATGGGGTTACATTTCTGCTCCCTCCGTCTGACGGTGGCGGACAGCACGGTGACGGCAGCGAGTCAAACTGCCCCCCCCCCGGTCGTGTCTGCGCCACATGATCTAAAGCCAATCTCCACCCTGCCACCGGCACAGGGAAGGTAGCTAGTGAGCACGCCCCTGCAGCCAAAATCAAATGGAATATCTCCCTCAGTTGAATCTCATATCAGATAATTATACGAAAAGAGGAATGGGGCCGGTAATGAAATGCTGGACATTTGGAAACCATTAGGTGATTAAAGCCAATGCATTATTTACTGCTTCAGCTGCTGCCGGTGCCACAGCGCCATAATAGGCACTTATACTCCACCAAAGATACCACCCATCAGCAGATTCATATGAAATCCTGCAAATCCAATTATTTTTTATTCTTTATTCATTAAGTTCTCGAATATTAAATACCTGCACATGTAACTTACATACAGTATTGGATACTTTTTCCTGTGCATATTTATCTGGTTGAGGTACCCATGGAAACAGCAGCAGAGAACATTTAAATGATCAAGGCTGCTTTTTGTTTAATTGCGTTGCATCAAATGACACAATGTGTACAGAGAATAACATCTATTATAGAGCCAAGAACACTGGATTCTTTCTATCTTATTATAAGAAAATGAAGAAGTGAAACTTTTTGTGAACTGTTTGTTTAGTTGGTACAATCCATTCAATGCTAATTTTACATCTTGCCAGGTAATTTAGCAATGACATGATAATGACACTGTTTGCCTGGTGCACTAGGGATTCATTTATTCATGCATGGATTACATAGGAAATAACAGAGTGGTGTCCATTTAAATGTGTGCATTCAACCGAGGTTTTTCCAATCCAATGAGCAGGTGCAGTGTGTTCAGAGCCGCTCTGACAGCTGGCAAAAATAACCGCTTACACTTACAACAACTGTGTTTTTTTCTTAATCCTGCATAAATTGCAATATGATTGTTCAGCTAAATCTATAAACCCCAAGCTGTGAAAAATATATTCCCTACCTGGCTCACTGATAAGTGAATGTTGAGTCAGTAGGTGATTTGTATCTAACTTTATATATCTTTTCTCTGCATACACATATTCTAGTTCAGTGGAGCAGAAGTCTTTCTCAGCATGTGTGGTGTAAAAACAGGGATACACTGAACAAGTCTAACACATAGACACACACATTCACACTACCATTGGCAAAGCAGAGTTTCCAATCCAAGCCCAGGTTATTACACATGATTGGACTGTTGTGAACAGAGAAATCACCGTGCCCCCATGAGTATAAACTAAGCTATAAAAGGGAATGTTCAATCAAATAATCTCCTTAATGATGATTCATCAAAGGAACCAATAAGCCGACCCTTTGCTAGGCCCCCTGTAGCTATCTGGGTCAAAATATAATTTCCATAAGAACACATAGAGGAGGCAGATTTAAACTCACAGTTATTTTGAGAACAATGCATATTCCCATTAAGTGTTACTATTTTCTAGCCATAGGCTGTTGATTTTGTTGTTAGAAATGAAAATGGTTGCTAGCTGGTTTTATCAGGTAGCTAGCTTATTAATGCTAACTTTATGAGTTGGTCGGAACCCTGTTTTCACATTTAATCTGACCCAAACTTCTCTCCTTTTGCTCACTCCAGTGCTCTCTCTCTTCCGGTACCTGTTGCTGAATATGTCTCAGACACATTCACTATGACAGTTGCGAAAAGCTGAGCTAACAAAGGAGTCAGCTTAAATCTGAAGTTGAATGAAATGGATGGTCCAATTTCGTACTTATTTCAGAGATTTATTTTCTGTTTTGACAACTTATCTTGACTGGATGCATCTTTTTTTGTAAAAGTCCCTCTCCGGTAATAAAACTTGGTTTATTGTTCATTGTACTCCACTTGGATGTTTGGGTTTCACTGCGCAGAATAATTTATGTGCAGAGTTTGTTTTGAAATCTGCTGACAGGGGGAACGTTTCTGTGTGCTCACCTTAAATCTTAGTGTGGTGTGAAAACTTGAGGCGTTCAGCAGGCGCACGCTGAGAATGGAGTTTTCAGTGAAGTGGCATACATACAAGTGTCTAACAGATTTGAATATTCAAAGATTTCATACATCATCATTTTAAATAGTATGTTTATAGCTAGGGAGTAAGCTAGTTAGCTGAGCATGATAATGTTGGACTTTGACGTTAGAGAACATCATCAATTGTTTAATCCATTCCTTACATTTTTGCTATTGTTCGGTTTCTTGGTCATTAAAGGCCATTTTAAATGTCATCAGCTGGTTGCATGAGCATTATGAGTGGTTCTCATGAATATTATAATGTGTCAATTGGGCCTACTGCACCTACTTAAATTGTTAAAGTTAAAGTAAATCAACACAAGGTAAAGTGAATGGAGCGTAACATTTTGAACAGAAAACAAACAACTTCTTTAGGTTTAGGCAAAAAAAAGTACTTGGTTAGGTTAGGGAAATTATTGTGGTTGGGTTAAATTAACTATGATTGTGAAGTGAAAGTGAAACTTAACATTGTATACACAAAGACAAAACATTCTCGGTCTCTCAGGTGACTCTTGCATTGGTCTCCAGGATGTATGTTGATGTCATTTGTATCAATTGTCCCCAACCTACATCCTTAAGGACTTGTGGGCTCTCCATATAACGTCAAATGATATTACGCCTTTGCTACTAGTTGGTGTAGCACCCAATTGAAAACTGAAAACCACTGAAAAGGCCCATTTAGTTGGTGGATACCATTTGAACCGGGTTAAACTCTTAGATACTAAGCATTAGTCCTACTAAAGCTATGCTATGTGCTATTAATGTATGGGGATGTGTTTAGTAAACAATTGAGACTTTGAGAAGTTCTTACCCTGTTTGGAACCGCTGCGGTCCCCGCTGGGCCCGGTGTTGGGGGTGTACTTGGTGTCTCTGGTAGCAGCGCTGTGCCTCGTCCAATCAAAATCGTCATTCTTGTCCTGGGTGAACATGCAGATGGCCTCCTCCTCAAAGCTGCAGTGGAACTCTCCTGGTGAGCGACAGAGCAGAACCAGGCTCTAACATTCACAGCATTATGAAAGAGTGAGATCTTACACACTGCCTCGTAGGTACAGTTAGCGTGCAGCCCGACACCTACTGTGTATTTATGAGATGTATGAGTGTGTGCATGTCCCCGGGGCATACATAACAGCAAAGTCCTAATTACACCACACTATCTGTAAAAGAGTTTCTAAATTAAGATGTGACCTCTCACTGACTGCGGTGGAGACGTCATGAGTGCGTTTGCTATTTTTCCTGACAACGAAAGGAAGTCTCTGCAGGAAGAGAGCAGCACCCAATGGCAGTTTGTGTGTGTGTGTGTGTGTGTGTGTGTGTGTGTGTGTGTGTGTGTGTGTGTGTGTGTGTGTGTGTGTGTGTGTGTGTGTGTGTGTGGAAAAGAGGGTGGAAACATAAAATTGGGTTTCTAAATGTATCATAGTTTAATAGATACAATTCTAGAAGTAGCATGAGGCGTAAATAAATGACTGTGAATGAAAAAATAACCCTTTTTTCAAGATTGAATGTAAAAATGGTTGTCCTTGGATGTATTGTAGTGTCTGTAATCAGTTTTTAAAATTGACACCAGCTCTTCATCTTATCTTTAGTGGGTGTGCAGGTGGAGATATTGGGTGCTCACCCTTCGCCCTCTCTTCTCCTCCATCACTCTGCAAGACCGCCATTTTTAAACTAGTGGAGTGTGCAGAGAGGCAGTGAAGCTAAGTTTCATCAACCTTCAAGAAATGAATTAAAGTCATCTCTGGCGTGGGGTTAAAATGGGTCACATGTCAGTGAATGCCGGACAGAGACCGCACTTATATTCAGAAATCACACGTGCAGGGAACTAGCCCATAATGAAGAGGGAACCGGCAGGATCAACAGTGTCAAAATCTCCATTTAATCCATGTAACAGACAAAGCAATAACACCTAACCAGAGGACACGGCGCTGCTGAGCAGTGTCCTCAAAGAGATAGTAAAAAGGAACATTTGGATTCAGGATGCAGGCATGTGTTCTGATAAATATTCATTGATTTATTAAAACGTAGCTGGGAGCAGTTTGGAGTGGTGACCTTGAGAGGCGCAGAATCTGCAGCTTTTGCTCAGGTAATGGAGGTAACATAGACTGAGGTAGTGTGGGTGGACCATGGGAAGGAAGAAGGGCAGAGCTGCTGCCAGGCAGAGTGAGATGGAAAGTGAGTCTAGGAGAGGAAGAAGTGGGGGGGGCTGGGTTGTGAGCACTCTTGACTCCTCTCCTCATAGGGATGCAGATTTAAATGGAGGTCTAGCTCCCGGCGCTAGACACAAACGCCCTCATCCACTGTGAGCTAAACTAAATGTTTTCGCCTTGTGCGCCCAGGAGAGATAGGGGGATTTGGAGGCGAGGCAGAGGAAGGAGGGAGGAAGAGGAGGCGTGCAGGTAAGATAGCTTCCTTCGGGGATTTGGATAATGATGTTGGTGATTAGGATGTTTGTTATTATGCTGGCAATGTTTGTGCGAACACCCACCAAAATGTGTATCTATAAAAATAAATAAACCGCGGTACACGGCAGCACAATGCAGCACGGCAGACAATGATTAAGAGAGGATTCTCAAGGCGTGAATAATGCGAATTTGTAAAGTTTCGACAATGAAATGTGTCATAAATGGGACTAAACATTAAAGGATAAACATACGGCGCAGATGCATGCATAAGTCATGCTCACAAAGCACAGGGCGTGCAAATGTGCTCACACACACGCACACACACACACACACACACACACACACACACACACACACACACACACACACACACACACACACACACACACACACACACACACACACACACACACACACACACACACACACACACACCACACACACACACACACACACACACACACACACACACACACACACACACACACACACACACACACACAAATACACTCCATCCAAAATGCACAATGTCCTGCAGAGATGTAAAGCTCTCAACATGTCAGATGGCCTGCTGCAGGATTCAAAAGGAAGTCAAACTCATCATACTTCATTAGGTAAGGATACTTAGAAGGATGTTCCAGTGCAGTGTGACATGTTGAGAGTCAGATCTCTACGGGATGTGCAGTTACTTGGAGTCTCCCCACTGTTCTGGCAGACTGTGCTGCGACATAAGGAGCTCACTCTCTGCTGAGCCATGCTAAGTGAGGTGCACATTACTTACTCAGGTGAGGGTTGATGGGAGCTGTGAAAGAGAAAAGGCCAAAGAGAGTCATTAGTAGGGAATATCTTAGCCGTCTGTCAATGAGTGAAATGCTTCTTAAAAGGAAACGCACAGCGAGGCGCACGCAGGCACTCAAACTGTCGCTCTTTAAAAACGCTTGTCTGATATAATGTGCTCCACCACAGGTGACAGACAATACAAGACGTACATGCTCACAGTCGCCGTGCTATTAACCTTTTCGCCTCGCTGTCATGTAATGTTTAGACGCAGAGCTAATAAAAGCCAACATGTATAAAAAGTTAGAGCTGGCACAGTAAACTTAATGAAAGAGGCCCGTGGGAAATATCGTCCTGTGATATTACAATACTGGAAGCATATTGGAGGTACGCTCCATCTTCTCCACGCTCCATTGCCTTCACGGTGTACAAATACAAAAGTAAAGAGCCAAACAGGAAGCCATCGGCTGGCACACACAATGCAATTACCATCGAGCAGACAGACAGAAGAGATGTCTGGGATTTAAAGTGGAGAAGGTGACAGCTGGGGTTATCAAATGTAAAAGACAGAGGGATTAGGAAGACCAGCCTGACCAAATTAATAAGCTTATATGCCATTTACCGACATTGCTGATGTTCTTGTTCAAGGGGACTTCCATTAAGAGCACTAAGCCTGTTTTATACTTCCATTAGAAGCCAATAAATCATAGAAATGAGTAACAATCACAAGTGTGTCTGCTGATCACTTTCCTGTAACATCCTTGATTCTTTGTGTGGTTTCAACACCGCCATTATGGAAACTTTTACACCAGTGGCTTGAGTCTATTGAAATACATGCAAGGTTCTTTGTGCTTTCTGTCCACCTCACCGCGGTTCAATGCCTCCCCTCATTGATAATTTAAGAGGCTACCGCCGCAGCAAACACAGAAAGGTCAAGGGTATCACGCAGAGTTGCAACGAGCCAGTTAGTCGGCACTTCACTTTTTGCAGAGTAAATACCATTTAACCTGTCAAGAAGATTCATGGGCATTTTCATGATCGATTGCTGACCGGCTGAATAGACGCGATACATCAGCTTTACCACAAAACGACGTCGCCCCGTGATTTATGAAACCTTGTTGCTCATGGGGGGAATTGATTTTAATCCTACCAATTAAAGTGAGTAATAACAAATCATTCCCACAAAGGAAAACGTGTACTGAGGAGTGGGGAAGTACCGCGGGGACGGTGGAATTGCTCTTTTTAAAAGCAGAAACTCAAGAAGTGATTTCTGTTTATTGCCGTGCGGTTCATAGAAATGTGTGTCCACTTGTACACAGTGTGGAGAAAAGAGGAAATAAGCACGAAGGCACACGCAGAGAGAGAAGGGGGGTGTGGATAGAGAGAGAGAACAAACCATTGCATTTCCAATTGAATCATATAAAACATTCAGTGAACTGCAACACTGCAGCTGGAGCCTCGCCACAAAGTGTGGAAAGAACAGGCTGTGCACTATAAAAGCTTTAATAATCCTTATGTCACCGATCCTGAAGAAACCTGCACCCAAACACTGGATGCTTCCTCCGGAAACTACGCTGTGCTGCACAGAGAGGCACTGCTGCAAACAGAGTGGGCTGTTGCAGAGAAAATGTTTTAAATGACAACTCACAGCCTCGGGCCGCTGAAACGGATGCTGAATTTTCTGACAGAACTCCATTCTTTTCAGCATCCCCTCTCTACCTCGCAGCATCCCGTTTCCCTGCAGCTGTCCTCACACCCCCTCCCTCCTGCCCCCTTCTTTCTTCCAAGACAGTGGTTATGAAAATAGGTTTCCTTGTCACTATTTCTTTAAACCTGCACCCTCCCCAGGCTGATTCACGGTGCCTTAGTCCAGATGAATGTGTCTGCTGGAGCTCCACCCCCGCTGATGAAATCAAGCCGAGCACAGAGCAGGCCCAGAGGGGGATCAACCAGTGCTGTGCATGCACACACACTTCCAAAAAATACACACACAATACCGGAATTAACTACCAATTTGGATGACTGTATTGGAAATTGGAAAGCAAACAAGGAACACAATTAATTCAGAGTGTCGATGTTCAAGCCTCGTCCTTGAATACTTCTGTAGCTCCGGAAAAACATGATTGGACCTCAAACACTCTCATCAAAATGCCCCATGTTGTTATAGCATTGGTGAGAAAAAGCCCTCAAGCAACTGCAAAAACGTTACACAAATATGTCTTTCTCGCAGTTACACTGCAGCACTCCCTTCAAGCTACTAAAAAACACTCAAATAATGATCCAGGATAAAACGTAATCTTGATAGTTCTCAAGATAAACAGTCCTTGTGATTGCGGTGTGAAGGGAAGTGAGTCTACAACGCAGCTATTTGAAAACTTCTGTTATGAAAGGGCATGTCCTCAGCCTACAATCACTATAAGTTTTATATCTTCTTCCTGCTTTTCCAACTCAGAGGACAAAGCAAACTGTTGCTTGATGCATGACTGCCTTCCATCCAAATTGCCTAATTTTGATTGAAACACAAAGTGAGCTCATTGACCGCCAAAGGACAGCGGTCCGTGGAGGCTGTTCCGGATACAAACACTGACTTCATCTTGGCTGGGTTCCCTGCCCACTGGCCTGATGCTGTATTACAGAGCAGCAGACGATTCCATGGCTCCAGCCAAGTGTCCTCAAAGACAACAGCAGCCCAGCTTCTTCGTTTCTTTTTTCACTGACCTCATATCATTCACGCTCTCAGAGATTCCCATCCATCACATTTAGGGCGTCTGGGTGGGTGCCATGACGTTCTGAGAGAGCTTTGTGATGGTTTCACAGCTCATACCAGCGTGGGCAAATGTAATTCTGCAATCTTCCCCTCATGTCTCCAGACATGAAATAACAGAAATAACACAAGGGACTTCACACTAGTGTGTCCTTCGATCAAACTGAACACACCCAAACACAGCCTCCCCGTGCCAGTAATCTCCTGTGTATTATCCTGCTCTTGCATCAGCGTGTATAACACATTGATGCAAGCAATCCTCAATGGACTTCCACATGGATGAGCTCTAAATAGTGGTCTAAAACGCAAGAATGCACAACAAGTTATATATATATATCATAATATAATCAATAATGCTACATGTTAGTTCTGATCTGTCTTAAAGGGGCCCTATTCTGCTCATTTTCAAGTTCATATTTGTATGTTGTGCCTCCACTGTGACACGTTGAGATGCTCCCTCTGGAGGGAACTTTGCAGACCATTTACACGCACAAACACCTATAACACACTACGGAGGCAAACCCCCCAAAAAGCATTATAGGGTCCCTTTAAACAAAGCTGGCTGGTAACGTTTCATATTTAACAGACAACCATGAGAGTTGTATCTATCTTCTGTCGCCCCAAAGTGAATAAATGTCTTGACTAAAAGGATTTCTATGAAAAGAAAACATGTCAAAGGAAGTTATTAGATGAGAAAGCAGCTGCACTGTGTTTTGCAAATCCCTAAGCCTTCACTACTATGTTGCTGCAATCAAAGTGTTTTTCAGTATTTATCACATTTTCAAGAATTCTGTCCATGAAAAAATACCCTGCAATAACACAATATTCTAAAGAAAGCCCTACGTTGACAGCTTGAGGCTTATATCAGTAAAAGAGAAAACTAATAATAAAAATATATGTTTTCCCAAAGCTGTGATTCATTGAATTCTCAGGTAAACAGAGACCATGACTGAACAAAGCTCAGACAGGGATTATACTGAACCACCGCTGGCCGAATATTAAAACCCCAACACCACCGCTATGGCAGGCAACAGATATTATCTAAAGCAGAAAAACTGTATTTAATATAAGATTTAGTGGGTATCGCCTTCCGGAGAGACATCTTACTGCATAAAAATGGAATATTAAGAAATATCCGCAGTGTTTCGCCGTGCCACAGTGAAGGATGACAGGAGGCTCAGACATTACATCCTGTGCCATGAAGGAAACCAGGGAGAGAGGGAGAGACGGATGTTGTGAGGAAAACCAAACAGATGCTGAGTTTGTCACTGCAGCAAAATTTAAAAGAACGTCTTTGGAGCTCCGTGACACAACCATCCTTCATCCTACAGCTGGGGACACTATAACCGCCTTTGTGTTTTCTTGCCAACTCACAGAAAAAGCTGCTTCCATCGGCTTTATGTGCATCAGAATGATCGCATGGCCTACTGGGCAATGACGAGCAAACTCTCTAATACTTCAATTTGAGTGGCCTTATGGTGGAAGGAGGACAGCGATGTTTATTCTAACAGCTAACAAAGCGGCTATGATATTTTTGTTGTTTACTTTGGACAGACACATTAATTTTTACTATCGTGGGGAAATAGAGAATAGATTTTTTGTGTATAGTGAAAGCAAGGCTACTACTGCATGGCAAGCATACAAGCACACACAGTTGGACAAACACAGAAAGAAACTACTCTCACATTTACACCTGAGGGTTATTTGGAGACTCCTAACCTGTATGTCTTTCTGATTTGTTGAAGGGAATCAAAGCAAACACAGGGAAAATGTGCAAACTCCGCAGCATAACCAGAGGCTAAAGGTGAATTCCCCCTCACTGCTTTCCAGGAGTGAAACAACAGTGCTAAAGAAAACCGTCACGCACTGTGATGACTGAATTTTAATGCAGAATATGTCATCTTCTCAAAGTACTCTGTGTCTGATTCAAAATGCAAGAGTCAAAGGTTTAGCATTTTTTCAGCATATTAAAAATAGCAAATGACCCAATTGCAAGCCAAACTATAAAAACACTTTTTTTGTGCTATATTTGAGCATTACAACAAAACCTCAGTCAAGGCCTGTCCTTGTATTTTTAAATGCCAGCTGGGTCATTCAAAATGAAAATGGGTAACTGTGGAATGGTAACACTTTGAACAGGTTTCTATCTGCAAAGATGAGTCACCCTAGAACAGTGGTTCTCAACTGGTCAGGCCTCGGGACCAACTTTTTACTTGGTCAATACATCGCGACCCAACATTTTGAAGCACTCAAATCTATTCAACAAAATATCGTGCTGTAATATATACGCTTTTGAGCATACAATATTAATAAAAGTGAAGTACAGTGCATATATCCCTTATATCCCTTCACAGAACTAAAGTATGCTTTTAAAAAAGGTTTAATGAGATGATGGAATCAAAGCTGAACTATATAAAAAGGCACACATGCTGAAACCCAACCCCAGCAGGGGGGTCTGGGGGATTCTCCCCCAGGAGATTTTTAGAAATACTAACATAAACTACGAATTCTGGTACACTCTGAGAAGAAAATCGGGCCTTCAAAATAAAAGTTTGAGTTTTTCCCCAAAAAAAAAAAAAAAAAGAAATTCAAATTTTTTTTTTTCAACTTTTTTTTCTTCACACACACATCCGCGACCCACTCGAAACGGGTCCGCGACCCACTTTTGGGTCGCGACCCACCAGTTGAGAAGCACTGCCCTAGAATACAAACTGTTAATAGGATATACTGAAAACTAACTGACCAAGTACATTGTTTTTTTGTAAGTATAAAAAAAATCTAATCAAAATGAACAGATTCAGGTTAAGACGAAATACCACTGCATATTCAACTTTACCAGTAGATAGCTTATTTTTTAAAAGAATTTTCTCAAAAGCTTTTACCACCATCAGCTTTTGTTTGTAGTTTTTTGCAGGTGTGAGTGGCCCCTCCCTTTTCCTCGTGCATTCATTTGAATCCTAGTGGTGTACAACACACCTTAGCATACTAACTGTTTTGAGTGTACTAACTTTCCCGGCGTAAACACACCACAGTACATATAGTACTCAAACCCTGCATACATGTTGTATGTACTACCTCGGGTTGCATTAGCTGAATGGCATCTGAAGCTAACGCCTAAACATCAGAGTCGATATAACATGACACTTCTCACTATTACCCTGCTCCTCAGCACCTGTCAATCATCATTGCTTTAGGTTTTATGGATTTAAGTATTTAATCATGTATGTGTTTATCAAGGTTGGATCAATTCTCCTAGCAGAATCCTCATCAGATAATTCAAGAGTTCGCTCAAACGGCAGAGCACTTATCGACAGAATTGTGCTATTAATGGTCAGTTCTTTGACGTCAGTGACTCAAACAGAAGCGTAGCTGTCAGTAATAAAATTGCTAAATATAGGTTGGTTAGTAAAACATCTTCTGGACTCTCTAATCTATGTCCAAGTAAAGGCATAATTGGATTACTCTTCCTCGCAATACAATATATCACTCATTTCTATATAATAAGAGTTGGAATAAAACCTGCTAACATACCGATTAACCATAGAAGCATATAAGATTATAAAATCACACACATTTATTCCATACACTTGTATTGATGTGGTTCCTGTTCCCCAGTGAGTGTGAAAAGGAAGCGATAATGGAGATGATGCAGGACTGTACATCAGGCTGTCTTACGGGAGCAGAGTGGATCTGATCAGACCTGCCGAGGCTGCTTCATGACGCTGTGCAGAGCGTGGGAGAACAGAGCAGCCCTAGAGTGATAATTAGTCTGGTCTCTCGTTGGGCAGCCCATTCGCACATCAGCATTGGCGGTCTTTTTTTTTACTTTGTTCCTCTATTTTTTTCCCCTCAGTCCCAACTTGGCTGCCTACCACTTCTCTAGCTCCTCTCTCTGTCTTAATTAGCCTCACTTCACTAGCATTCACTTTGATTGGATTCAATTTTGATTAAACTGATTTCAAATCAAGGTTTAGCAGAGACAGCACAATTTGCTTCATGATGCTTCAAAAAATAACAGCAGAGAAAGTTTTACCTCTCTCATCCCCGATATTCTCTTTTGAGCAGCCGTGATGAGCTGCAGTGGAACTGAATAATTCACAACTGCAGCAGCACAACTCAGGAAGACAGAAAACAGTGGGCTAGTTTGTTTCTGAAAATGCACATCTCAAGTACCTGTGCATCTGTTCACTGTCACTGCTGGGCCGACTGGGGATACTAATGTAGTGTTAGCATTGCAGCCAGCGTGTCGTCCAGCAGGCTGAAGGATGGGCCTCCATTTGCAAGACGATACAGTGCAGGCCTGCTACACAGTACAAAGAATCTACATGATGTTGTATTACTATAGCCCTGATTTAAATAAGAACATAAACCAAATCAAGTCATGTTATTGTCCTGATTTGGGGGCGTTGGAAGGCTTAGGACCTTTGAAAAATATATGCGATATAAAACAAAAATGCTTTTATTTTGTGGAAATAAATCCCAGGACGTAAAATAATATCTCCTGACAAAATAATGAAAAGCAATCTCACATAAAAATACATTGTTTTTGGGGGATAACTGCGTAAAGCAAATGTATTACTGTCTGTGTTTGGACTTGTGACTCAAGGTACTTCTGATGCTCTGATGTCACAATGATCTCACAGGAACAACAAGTCAGCCTGTGTCCGAGATCACAATAAAAGCTGACTCAGGCAATACAAGTCACAAGCACGAGATAATAAGTCAGTTGATCGGACTTTACACAAAGTGACAAAAGAAGCAAAGCTGTGTACTGACAGTTCAGGTAATTTTAAAGGGGCCCTATTATCAAAACTCCCAAAAAGCATAAAAGGGTCCCTTTAATGAGTTTAATTTCTACTGCACCTTCTTTATAAATCAAACATAACAAAGCCTCCTAGGATCATGGTAAAGATGGCTGGTACCAGAGTGAACCTGTGATATCATCAATGTTGATAAGCATGTGTCCATATGCGGCAGCACAAACTAAAGCTGTTGAAATGGCATAGTATGTCGGAGTTAGCTGAAGGATAACATAACCAGCTGTAGCTGTAATTCCTCCACCTGTGCAGCCACGTCTAAGTAGAATCCTAAAGTGAATCTGCGTCCTCTCCCCTGACGTGTTTTACTCTCTAATCCATACGTGGGGACTTTCAAATCCAGCAGTAAGAGCAGACTGATCACAGTCCTCCTGAAAGACGGTTTATAGCACTCACCGCTGTACGTGACGATCCGGATGGTGGAGTCGCCCTCTCCGAATCGTGTGATGGGGGTCAGCCGCACCTCGTAGGATTCAGGCTTTATGAGCTCTGTCAGGTTGTGTGTCATCAGCTCTCCTTTGTTGATCGCTCCGTCCACAGGAATCTCCTGCTCCCACCAGCGCTGCAGGCCCATCTGCATAGAAAGAGATGATTACAATCAATAGACACTAAGACGTTTTGTACAAATACAGATATCTTATTAATAATTGTCCTAATCGAAAACATTTGGGAAATCAACCACATAGTGCTTCTCAAGTAGTCGTCAGTATTGGGTTTGTATCTATCAGAATTTAAAAAGATTTGAATTACATTTGAATTTAAGTAGTGCACTGTTCGTACACTTATATTATGTTGTATAACTTTTGATTTGATGCATAAAAGATACTAACAGAATGTAATCTGATGGTCTATTGTTAACGTGCTCCTATATTTTAATACATATGTGTAAAATGCTCCTTATTCGTATAGCAACATCTTTTACCACAGTGACCTGAGCGCAAAATGTTACGTTAGATCCTAATTTTGTTACATTTGCACTACTTTCTGAATAAACTGAAATGAACAGATCCTTGTGCATTTGTTTTCCTTCTGTACCAAACTCACAGTAAGGCACAGGTATAACTCCACCTATAAATCAATCAAGAACATGTTTGAACGGTATTGTCCTTGATGGTCAGTTTTAATCTGCCACTTTTAGAGACATTAGGTTTTAGACTAGAAAAGCTAATTTCATTGATTAAGCAAATCTAAGGCTCTTGGCTAATTCCCTTGATTTGAGTTGCTTAGATTAGTCCCTCTTTTCATGGTTCGAAGGTCCGGGAGTGGCCTCAAGTTAATTACAGACCAATCAGCAATAGTTAGTCAGTGTTGGGTTTGGACCCCAGAGCGCATGTTGGTAAACAGCACTTCCAGTTAGAGGATCTCATACCAACCAGATTAGAGCTTGCAGAGGTATGGTATGTAGGATTAGGAATAAATTACCTTTGATATTTGAAATATATGAAACCACAGCAAATTAAAAGCAGCTATAATCATTATTCATCAGAAATGTTCATATCTAAAGAAATTGGAATGCATACAGTCAAGGCTTTTATGTAGTATCACCACAAAAGTAGAGCATGTCAATTCAAAGCGTATTCTTCTGAAGCGTTTGCTCCTGGGAGTGTTTTGCATACATGACCACAGCAAATATACATTCCCCTCACCATCAGTGTTGGATGCACCCTCTCATCTGCCAATTAACCCTATCTATAGGCATTTGTATGATACGCCGCCAACATTAAATGCTACACAACAAAAAACATCTTATCTTTTCACGGTAAATTGTTGACAGCTAGCTGCTCATTAGCAATATTTACTTTCAAAGCAGCTCCTAGCCTCTGAATTCAAAGACGGTTATTAACAAGCAGAAGAAACATTCCCATACTTGAAGAGAGAGAAATCCGGTTCCATTTTTCCTATTAAAAAAAACATCCCAGTGTGGATCATACAGGCGCTGTGCGAGTACAGTAAGGACAACACCTTTGTGCTCTGTACACCATCGCCTCATTCTTTTAAAGTTGCTCTTTAATCACGTTCGACAATGTTTTGTAGCAGGACCTTGAACTGACAGGAATTGTATATCTCGTTCACACAAACTGTCTGTCTGTGACTAAGCTCAGGTATCACAAAAGAGATTAGCTTGTGCTTCTGATACAAAACAGCTGCTCAGGAAATCCAAGGAAACAAAAGGGAGGTTTGCTGCTGGGGGGCAATGAGAAGAAAAGTAGGGTACATTTTATCCTTGAGATCGGTTTAAGGGGAAGAGCCGCACAAAGACAAGTTACAGCTTCTGCATCACAATTAGTGACTTTACATGCCCTTCTCAGTCAGAGGAAAAGACGGAGTGTGTAACAAGCGGAGAGAGACAGAGATAGAGAGAATGGAAGTGTGATAGCACACTCAGTAGGTTTGTGTGTGAGAAAAATACCAATTAAGTAATTACTAAGAGCCGGGATGATCCACAAATTACGGGGTGCAAGTTTATACCACCATTACTTTGCAGGTAAACAGGGTTTTTTTGTGGCACTAGTAATTGCAGATGGAGCGCTTACCTCTACCTTTCCTTTGAACATTTGAGCACATACGGCATTACAGCAGCCAATTGCCACAAATGACACACTGTTGGATAGTGTGTGTTTGAACACTCTAAAAAGAGGCTGTGACATTTCAAGCACATTTGATATTGGAATATAAAAATGAAAACAATCAATTAAAAAAAATGTACACACGTCACCCTGTTTTTTTCACATTTGGCAGTCTCTGTCATTTCTATAGATTGGTGTTGAGGGGAAGTAGAGGAAAAAGAGAAGGTGTACTTAACACTGTCCACATTCGAAAGATAAGGAAGTAATGATACAACTAACGAAGTCCAAAGTGATGTCTTTGAAAATAAAAAAAACAAAGATATTGAGCTTGATATGATACAGAGAAACCTAGGAAATCTCAGTTTTGAGGAGGATGACACTGCAATTTCTGATATTTTTGATATGACTAAATTACTGTAAAGATGAATCGATTATTTTTCAGTCAATCGACTCATTGAGAATTAGATTTATCGTTGAATCTCTAATAAAAAACACACAACACTAATACACCATGCATTATAAGTTAGATGCAAACTTGTTCATTAAGTCAACACATTAGGATACATACAATCTGTGCCCACAAACAGTTTACGGTTATCTCCACTGAAAATCAGACATAAATACATAAAATCTCACCGCCATGTAGGGCTGCTCAATTAATCGTATTTTAATCGCAATTACGATTATGGCTTGCAACGATTACGAAAACAACGTAATCGAAATAAAACGATTATTTTTTTATTATTATTATTATTATTTATTGGTTTTTCAGTTGAATTATACTTAAAGTTCAGGGTAATCAACTGTTAAAAACATACTGTTCAAATTGTTTTTCTCCAATAAATTGATGTTTTCAAAGTAAATGGATAATCGTTTTTAATAATCGTGATATCAATTATTGACCCAAATAATCGAGATTATGATTTTTGCCTTAATCGAGCAGCCCTACCGCCATGCATGTCAACACAGACTAATGCAAAAGCAATATTTTAACCGATCAGTTAGCTTAAAGGGGGCATCTCCTCTGTATTTTCTTATTTTTACTTTTTGGAGCCAAAGAGCTCTACAAAACTCAATCTCACATATAACCTAATTCTCATGCTTTCAAATGTAAACCTATTCAACATAATAAAATCCAGTTAAGTCCCACTTATGGAGCATAACGTAAGTTCAGGCAGAGCAGCACATGCATTAGCTGATTGGTTTCAGCTGCACGATTCACCATTTTCTCTCTGTCTATTACTGCCATTGTCCCTTTGTGATCAGCTCCTATAATATAAAACCGCAGATGTTTGAATGGTTCATATGCTTATTATATGCTCATTATGTCTAATGCCTGCAGCTAAAACATGAATACCAAAATGAAGCAATGATAAAACTTGAAACTAGTTTGATTTTGTTTAAGTTTAGTTGCTTTACCAAATTCATAACATAGCCTTGTTTTGTTGTCATAGAAAACAACTGTATGGGTCTCATTAAAAATAAATATTTATTTTCAAATGGATTTGATGGCAGGTTGTATTGGGAGCGCCCTGTCACTTTACTCGCAGAATAACAATATCTCGGGGTTTGTATCTGAGCTCATTAGTGTTCCCAAATCCCCCCCCATCACAGCGCCTGCTTGTGCTTAGTTTAGGTGCTGGTGTAATGCTGCGAGCATAAATAAGAGTATGAAACTATATGTGCTGTAAAACAGTTTTGGAGGCTCGTGTCAGGTTTAAAAACATTTAATTGGGAAAACTGTCTATGTGTGTGCCGGAGCTCAAGGCAAATGGAGGCCCTTAAATGCTAGTATTGGAAAACACTGCAAACAACAAAAACTATTTTTTTCTCGTATCAAAACGCAGATGTATTTAAATGCTCAAATGAAATCAATCTTGAAACCTTGATTGAGAAACAACATTTAACTTCTGAGACGTTTTGAATCATACACATGCTTATTGGTTTATGGATTTTGCACCTTTGTTTTGATTCCCATTAATGTTCACTGAGTCTCTGCGTCTGCGCTCGATTAAGGATTCTGTTTACATCCCATTACCTTTCATTTTTCAAATGTTGCCGACAGAGGCAGAGTGCCGAATTGATTTCATTTCACAGGGTTTTTAAAGACAACAGCAAGACTGATCACAGCGACATCAGGTGTCAAAAGTCGCACAGAAAGTATCAAAGTGACTGTTCTCTTTGACTATGGTGACTGTTTATTGCCGGCATGTAAAACATATGACTCCTATTGATCTGCCTAGACTTGACAGATCAATTGAAAACAGACGAAAGAGGAGGAGTAGGAGGAAGAGAAGACAGAGACAAGGGAAGTTGATCCAAGATGGCAATATGTAGCTGCGAAAAAGTGACCTTATAGGGGTTAGAGACAGGAAATGAGGCATCTGGACAGCTAAGAAGGCTTTGAAGAAGCCGGCTGTAGTGTCAAAACAAGGCCAGATGTCACACCTTAACATTGCGTCCTTGACAGGTGCAGTGATTTGTGTTTTGGTGGAGCTAGAGCTCCATCCCCGTTTCCCCTTCAGCGTCTGTCTCTCAGGAGAGCACTGGACGATAACACAAAGCAATCCATTACAGAGGCATAAGGTCTGCGGGCTCTGTGCATTAATTCAAAAGAGAAAATGATAATAATTCTGCGGGAATGGCAGGGGAGCTGCTGCTGGATCTATAAATAGATCGAAGTGGTGTTGTCCACGTGCCGAAGGTTTCATTACTGCACCACTCGTGCACAGTCAGTATCAGCCTCTACTCCTACTCATTTTCTCCTATCTCATTTCCTCTTACACTTTTTTTTAGGCCAACTCTTTCTCACCAAAAGGTATTCAAAAGTATATTATCAGTCTAAATCAATGCTGAAAGCTGAGACTTAATCCATCACAGAGGTATACTGTAAAGCCAATCCCACAAACAAATTAATTCTCCTTAAGGCAGATAATTTCTTTAATCTAAGACGATGGAAGATCGGTTGTTATGCCTCGGAGGAAGGAGATAATGGTCACAGTGTACCCTCTCGAGATATCAAGGCAAGAAGGAGGAGAGAAATTAATTTGCCCAAACAATGATTTTCTGCAAACATAGACTGGTGAAGTAATATTTTCTCTTTGTAAATGTAAAGATGCAGTATAGATGCAGACTTCACAACCCGGCTGAAAATAAGAAAAAAGCAAATGTATATTCCTGGCAAGTTCTCAAACAAACTTTTGGCAAGCGCAGCCATGGGCACCGCAATGCACAGCATCATTTATTACCAAACAGACCAAGTGAGAGAGATGACAGGAAAATCATTGCTCTGCGCAAACATAACTGGTTTAAAATGTGTATTCAGGCTTCAATTCCTGAGGGTGTAGTGTGAAACAAACATGAAATTATATTATTCATTGCAAAAAAAACTGTCAGGGTTTTCTTGCTAATTCCAAAGCAGAACTGATATCATTTTGGTGTAGCAGGATGGGTTACATTTCTTTGATATATGCTCTTTTTTGATACAGGCTGGTGACGGGGGCTTTACAATTAGTTGAGTTAATGGAGCTTTTTGGCTATCTCAAACTTTTTGTTTACTGCTGCTGTAAATAGGATATCCATAAAGACAAAATGTGCTCCACCCTGCCATGTGCTATGGAGAGGAAGGAGAGGAAGGTACACATTGATTGCCAAAGAGAGAAAATGTAACCATGCCATCCATCAATGCTGCTACCGGCCTGTCATCTGTGGAGTTGACTTGAAAAGCAAAACAGGAGCTATGCTTGCTTTTTCTCTCTGTGGGGTTTCCCTCCACTCCTCTGACTGAGAGCAAAAAAACAGAAACAATTGGTGGGAAAGCACAGAACTGGTACAAACGACCGCCCCTGACAGGTTGTTAGTCACTCAGCGTGGTCTACAGTGGCTCATTCACTTCTTACAAAACTGTAGAATAAGACTGTCGATGAATCGAGGCGCACGATTTGGCGCTGTCAAACGGAATACAACGAGCAAGCTGTGCAAACACATCTATCGCACGCTTAAATTGGCAATAAGAAAGCTTTTTACTGCCTCGTGGCGCAAATAAACTCTAATTTATCTAAGAAGGGTGGGAAAGAGGCTGACCACTACAGATGACTGAGCGATTATTTTACACGGAGCCGATGTTTCTTGCTTTTAAAAACTCATGTTCTGGCTGTTACAAAAGCTCCCTGAGAACAGATTTCTGCTGGACTGAAAAACACTTTGAACTGCAACAAACAGCATTCAAATCATGCGCACGTAGGTTAAACAGAGAAAAAGAAAACAAATCAGCAGGCAGCAGGGTGAGGTGCTCACATAAACAACTCCAAGTTGACTTCAAATCAGGGACCCTGGCTCCGATTGGAATACACTTGACCGCAAAGTCTAGTTTTTCTTGATAAGTAGGAACACTGTGTTACGTACTCGGGGCCCCGATCCTGTCCACTTGAAAAAGGTGGTCTCCAGTTCATGTGTACTTCAGCACGGTACAAATCAATCGTACCTAATATAAAAACACCTTTAGTGATCCTACCTGTCTGATGCCCAGCCTGTAGGCCACGATGCGGTCCACCGCGTTGGGGTTCATCTGGGTCCACTGCAGTTTGAAGCCGTAGACTCTGGGCCGGTTCTGCCACAGCGGGCTGTAGGTGTCGTAGTAGAACTCAGGAGGGTAGGCTTTGCCTGGAGAGAAAGCACATTGATAGTATTGCATTAAAACCTACTTAAGATTAAAAAGATCACACCTGAAAACCATGTGTTGGAATCTAATGGCACTCATGCCTTCTGCCAATATAGTCAGGACTGTTTTAGGGCTATCCAAGCAATAGAAGTAGTATTTGATAAAGTTTGGGATACTTGTGACAGAAATATCCAAATATAAAATATATCTCTACAGATTCTGACAAGTCTGTTTATAAAAAGCAGTGAAAAAAGGATGAAAGCAAATACTAGACATGAACAAGTCTCAGAAAACGTAACATGTTAAAGTCACCATGGGTAGCATTTAGACTGGATAGAATGAGTTGCTGGGATTTAACTTAAAGTGGACCTATCATGCTATATTTGAATAATATAGTGTAGGACCATACCTACTATATAAGGCATATTTATACTTTTTTTTTCTTCAAAATACCAAACAGATCATGCATTTTAGCCATGCCTCATTTTGCTCAATTTGAAATTTTTTAGCTCTGTTTTTGCAAGGGCAGATTCTGTGAGAACAGCACCACCTACAGGCCTGGCATATGTACTACAGCGTCTCCAGCGCTTTCGAACGGCAATGGCCGTGGCTGTCTCCTCCTGATTGGTGGAGTTGGCCCAATAGCCGTAGCGCCACTGTCCTGACGTCAGGACAGTGTTCAAATCTGGATCAGTTTTTATCAGATCCGTTGCAGCCCCTTTTTTAGAGATTTGGGTATGGAGGAAAATAGAGAGGGTTGTGTTTTCTGACACTTGGTGAGTTCCCTGGAACACCGGGGACACATATTCATGTATAAAAGACGTGCAAAAGTGCATTTTGCATGATAGGTCCCCTTTAAGTATTGCTTGAAAAACAAACAAAAAAGCATGTTATGGACATATTCATTTCTTAATATAGATTGTGAATGAATGACATACATTTTAGGAGTGCTTGAATCACAGCAATTGTACCAATAATGGTGCTGTTACTGTACAGTGATAATAGACATAAAACGGCAGCAGTTGCATGTTTTACTACATTAACACGTTCTCTTTAGAGATGAATCATCTTTAAAACATTAAGATAAGCAGTTGAGGTCAAACTGTCAGATATAACATTGCATGATGGAGAGATGTAATGTTATATCAGACTGAATGACTCAAAACAGAGGTGAAAATAAAAAGGTTAGTGCAGATATATTGGCACTGCTGTAATGACTCAGCTGAACAGTACTTGTTTTTAGGTTTGTTGCTAGGTTATAATAGTTATTATGTATAATATGAGATCTCAATACATTGCTTGCATTTGTATTCATTACAAACACTGTGCAGGCTTGCCATTATGCTTGACTGTAAATGTATACGTTGTATCATTTGTTCACATAGTAACACTTCTTTAGAGAGACTTTTTTAAAGAAACGCTGAATTAGCATGACAAAGACTTACAGTATCTCTTCTCTTCACTATGTTCAGTTTGTTCTATTTCTATCCGATCTGTATGATATTCCTTGTTGCTGCTGTGACCCAATTTTCCCTGAAGGATCATTAAATATTAATGTTATGTTTCGTGACGTACAGTACTTTTGAACCAAAGCGTGTAACAGATTGTATGTTTCATGGACGTATAGCTACGAGATTCTGATGTATCGATCCAATGCGATGGCAGATTTGACTAAAAGTGTAAGATGCTTTAAACTCAAGTTATCTTCTCAGTAAAAACACATTTCATTCAGATCCAGACTACCAAAGAGATTGTCAGAAAGCTTGAATTACACAGCTTGCTCTGTAGAAATCGGTGAGTTTTTTTTGACAGCGATCGTTGCATGGACTGAACACATCTTTCAAGATGTTGTGCTTTCCGGTCACAGCCTGAGAGCCGAGATATCTGACAGCTGAAGCACAGCCGGCACAACATTGTATTTTAATCAAGATCCAGCAACAAGCTAACAGGATGACCTTCCAGGCAAAGAATAGTAATTCACCTCGACAACACGTTGTTGTGTTTGCCCCTCAGCTGTTTGGGCTTGTTTATTGAAGGATGACAAAACCCAAGGCAGATGATTTTTAATAGCCATGGAGAGGAGACGCTGGAGCAGCCATTGTTAGCGCAAACAAAAACAGGACTGGGATTTGATGTACCCGTGTGGTTGTGCAGCAAGTAGTTGATGAATGTCAGACAATGGCTAAACCTGTCAAGCTAGTTTATGTCATTGATGGATTATAACGGCTTTATTTCCTTAAACAGATTAAGTGGTCTCTTGGGTTTCTCCCCACGGGGCTCCTTGGTCTGAGAAACTCCTTGAACCATTTTGTTTTTTTCAATTTTGATCCTAAGAATGACACTCGAGGGAGTAAATAAATTGTGACTTGGGAGTTTGTAAAGGTCACAAGGTGATTGGTTATCATTCTGGTTTCAATAGCCTTAGTACAGTGTTACTGTAGGCTAGTGGATCTTTGTCTTTCACTGTGGAGCCTAAACAGCTTTTACCTTAGAATTATAGCAAAGCCAAAAACAAGGAATGATTTTGTCCAACTGTGAAAATGATAAGTGAAATGAATTCAATTCAAATAGAATCGCTGCAGGGGCAAAGACAATTTCCTGTGGAGCTAAACTTTGCTGTTCTGACATGATCATTTGTGCCATGACAAACGAACAAAACAAAATGTCTTGACAGTGCTGATATCTTAGGAAACTGAAAGCTAAATAATACAGGAAGCAAAACTAATTGTGGCTTACTAGCTGTGCAGTTGCATCCACTTTTAGGTAACCTGCTCACAGAAGGCTGTTTCCCTGACCGAGAATTTACAGATCATTGAATTATGAGGGTTTTCTTTTCATTCTTGAGCCCTGCCTGCCAAGAAATCTGAATTGTGATGTCTTCTCTTTATTTTTTTGTTTGTTTTGTTCTTTTGTTTTGGTCAAATGAGTGTATTACACTTATTGTATTTTACACTTATGTAAACATCAGACATCTTAAATGCCCGTATTCAATTGAAGGCTTTTATTGTCATGTGCTACATATAGCTACAGTGTAGATATATCAATGAAAATCTTAGGTATGCATTGATGCTTTGTTTTATTATATACGTTGTGTGAATCTCTACTGTCCTGTTTTTCACTCTCTGTTGCTGCTTTAACTCTTTTTCCCCACGGGGATAAATAAAGGTCCATCTTATCTTTCTTATCTTTTCTTCACATCAATCATTCCTAACCAGTGTGACAATTTGACTGTGAGATTGGCAGTTAAATCAGGCTCCTCAAGTGAAATAGTCTTAATGGAAGTATAAACGGACCTACCAGAAGGCACGGTTTGCAGCTATGAGACATGCATCCATGGTATACATTAGATGTATCCTTTTAATAAACTCAGCGAAACCTATTTTCTGGTAGGGACCAAGCCAACCACTCACTACAGTAAGTCACTTTGTGATATGACGACGCCTGGCTATATCCCATGATTTTCTTAAACAAACAATCATTTCGCCATACTTCCAGGCATTACAGGGAGCTTTACAGTTTTCCCCCTGTGCCATAGACCTCCATTGTTATCCCTAAACATCTTCATAACAATGAATATGGGCACTGCAGTCTGTTTCGAGTCGATTCCATATTCACCAACCTGCTGCCTAAATACTCACAAACAAAACCATAGAGGATTGAACCACTGCTGTATATATTTTCTAACAAATCCACAATTAACTTCTGGACTTACCTAAGAATGACCTGGACTGAACAAAACAGATTAGCAGTTGCCGGCTTAGTGTGGTGGGATCAATTCTCCTATTCTTCAGAGAAAATAAGTCCAAATAAACACTGAGGGCATTTTGTTTTGTTATGCATTTCAGCAAAAATGAATCAGGTAATGATGACCGGGATGCAGATCAATTGGCCTTTAAATGGATAAAGCTATTTCAAATACAATATTATAATCTGAGTGAAAGAAACACTCATTTATCAACCTGATGAAAGTTTTTATGTTGAGTTATGAAATCCATCTCACAAGGTTACATTGAACCCTTTGGTTTTATAACTGAATATGCTATAAAACAAACTGCCCCCGTGGCTCACTGAAATGCAACTAGAAAAAACAACATCTTTTCTAACAACAAACCCAAGGATAATTACCATCTGCACTTCACTCTGCAGTGTTTCGCTGTATAGAGCCAGCTGTGTTCACATCGCGCTGTACAGTGAACGTTACATAAGCCAGCCAGTGCAGATACTGTCTTTTTTTTTGCAGTTTATTCTGTTATAACGAGACCAATGAAAACACAAGTGGCTATGGTTTGCAGCAGAGCAGAGGCAGCAAGGGTTAATTAAACTGATTGTATGTTTTCATGATACTTCTAAAGATTCCCACGCAGCCTCGGCTTTAGGTAAACATTGCTGAAAGGATCACACACTTATATAAGTATTTAGCGAACGCGTTCTGTAGTAATTGAATCTATTAGATTACAGTTCTTTGCAATCTTCAGAAACTCACAAAGTGAATGACCTCAAATAACAAATATAATGTAATGATGGTCGTCACTGCTAATAATTTGTTATGTGTGAGGAAGCACATTGCCTAAACCACTTACTAGTCTTGAAACAGATAACCCTGGGTGGGAGACATCAAGCATAAAATATGGAAGGCTTAATTGATTTTTCTTTAAATCCTGTTTATAACAGCAGAACCAATGCAATGATTCATAACAGCTCAGTAAAACCCTTCCGGCAAGAAGTTGACCTTGTTTGCAGACTTCCTTTTTTCTTTCTCTTCTAAAGGGTTCATGAACATGCTTTCTTCTTGAGGAAAACAGTGCCATATGCTAAGCTGTGCTATATGGTGCAGGGCTGATGTGTGATGTAGGCTTTTGTGGCAGAAGTGACGCTTGCATATGGATGCACAGCTGGCCGAGATAAACCCAACACCACCGCCTGGATAAGCTAACTGACTTTAGGGAAAAGACATTAGACATTAAAAGACTCGGTGGTAATTGGCTGGTAGTCCCCTTCTGGG